GACATCTCCACTGCCTCCAGCCTTCTCCTCGCTGCAACGTTCATCACCCATGCTTCACACCCATATAAGAGTGTTGGTAAAACTATATTCTCATACATTCCCCTCTTTGCCTCCAAGGACAAAGTTCTTTGTCTCCACAGACTCCTAAGTGCACCGCTCACCCTTTTCCCCTCATCAATTCTATGATTCACCTCATCTTTCATGGACCCATCTGTTGACACGTTCACTCCAAAATATCTGAATACACTCACCTCCTCCATACTCTCTCCCTCCAACTGATATCCAATCTTTCATCACCCTAATCTTTTTGTTATCCTCATAACCTTACTCTTTCCTGTATTCACTTTTAATTTTCTTCTTTTGCACACCCTACCAAATTCATCCACCAACCTCTGCAACTTCTCTTCAGAATCTCCCAAGAGCACAGTGTCATCAGCAAAGAGCAACTGTGACAACTCCCACTTTATGTGTGATTCTTTATCTTTTAACTCCACGCCTCTTGCCAAGACCCTCGCATTTACTTCTCTTACAACCCATCTATAAATATATTAAACAACCATGGTGACATCACACATCCCTGTCTAAGGCCTACTTTTACTGGGAAATAATCTCCCTCTTTCCTACATACTCTAACTTGAGCCTCGCTATCCTCGTAAAAACTCTTCACTGCTTTCAGTAACCTACCTCCTACACCATACACCTGCAACATCTGCCACATTGCCCCCCTATCCACCCTGTCATACACCTTTTCCAAATCCATAAATGCCACAAAAACCTCTTTAGCCTTATCTAAATACTGTTCACTTACATGTTTCACTGAAAACACCTGGTCCACACACCCCCTCCCTTTCCTAAAGCCTCCTTGTTCATCTGATATCCTATTCTCTGTCTTACTCTAAATTCTTTCAATAACAACTCTACCATACATTTTACCAGGTATACTCAACAGAGTATATATATTCTATTATTAAATTTTAATTTAATGTCTTTCACTAAATGCTTAATTTTCACTAAAATTTGTTCAGTACGGAATAAATTTACATAAGTTTACAATAGGGAATCGTAACTGAGAATAACCAGGTAAAGTATATATAGGCTATGTATAGAAAGACTAGAAGGAATACAGAAACAGGACTGCAGTGAGCAAGGAGCTTTAGAAAGGTAGGGGATGTGTAGATCAAGTGGTAGACATTGAAGCATATAAGTGAACAGTATTTTGATAAGTAGAGAAGTTTTCATTGCAGTTATGGATTTAGAAAAGGCATATATAGAGTGGTTAGGAACAATGTGGCAGAAGTCGCAAGTGTAATGGAATAGGTAGTAAGTTACTAAATCTCTATAGAGTTTTATGAGGATAGTGAATCACAAGTTAGGATGAGTAGGTGAGAGGGAGATTCTTCTCGCACAAAATAGGTCTTAAACACTGATGTGAATGTCACCATGAGTTGTTATTAACATCTTAATAGATGGGGGTTTGTAAAAGAAGTAATGCTAGGTGTTTGGGGAAAGGGTGGGATTAAAATAATGGGGAATTAAATAACAAAATGAGCATTGACAACAGTACTTTTTGATGATGATTTACGTGCTTTTGGGAGATGCTAAAGAAAAGTTTGCAAAGGTTACTGGACAAGTTTTGGGAGGGTGTGTAAAAATAGAAAGTTGAAAGTGAGAATATAGATAAGAGTCAGGTAATGAGAGTATCAAATGATTTAGAAAAAGAAAAATTAGATATCACATTGGAGAGAGGGAGTATGAAAGAAGATGAGAGATAATCAGATATTGGGAGATTTGACATCTCAGTGGATGGGGTTTAATGAAGATGAGGTAAACCACAAACTGACTCTATAAGAAAAAAAGGTGGAGTGTGCAAGAGGTATCTTGGAGACAAATAATGTATCCACGAAGGCAAAGAAGGAATGTAAACAGAGTATAGTGGTAAAACCAACACTCTTATATGGGAGTGAAGCAAAGGGTGTAAATGCTGCTGCGAGAGGACACTGGAGCAGCGAGATGTCATGTCTAAGGGCAATGTGTGTGGTCAATATAATGCAGGAGATTCGTAGTGAGTGGAACTTAGAGGAAGGGCTCAAACTTCCAGCAAGCGTGCATGAGCATGCTGGAAAGGATTGGAATGGTCGATGAATGGTTTTTTGGACCTGATGAGTTGTTGAGGGTGCGAACAGGTAATATTTTGCGAAGGGATCTCAGGGAAACTGGTTAGCTGGACTTGAGTCCTGGAAATGGCGAAGAACAATGCCTGCACTTTAAAGAAGGTGTTTTATGATAATTGGCAGGTTGGATGGATGTCTAAACTGTTGTTTCTGAGCGCCTCTGCAAAGACAGTGATAACGTATGAGCGATGGAGATAATGTTTGAATGAATGATGGAAAGTTTTTTCTTCTTTTGGTTTTTTCTTTCGTTCTCGGGTCCCCGCCTTAGTGGAATGGCTGAAGTGTTGAAAAAAACAAAAAAATAGTACTTACCTTAGTCCCTGATTTAAGACAGCTGAAATGTATGCATAACTATAGACTTTCCTGTAAGAAATACTACACACACTGTTCACGTTATTAATTAATGACACTAAAACAATTATTATTTTTTATTACCACACTGGCCGAATCCCACAAGGCAGGGTGCCCGAAAAAGAAAAAACTTTCAACCATCATTCACTCCATCACTTGTCATGGCAAGAAGGTTGCTTTACACTACAGTTTTTAAACTGCAACATTAACACCCCTCCTCAGAGTGCAGCACTGTACTTTCCCATCTCCAGGACTCAATTCCAGCCTGCCGGTCCCCTGAACCCCTTCAAAAATGTTACTTTGCTTCACACGTCCAACAGCAATTCAAGTTTAAAAACCAGATGTCTCCATTCAAATCCTATCAAACAACGCTCACGCACGGGCCTGCTGGAAGTCCAAGCCCTCGCACCCAAAACCTTCCTTTACCTGACCCCTCCCTCCCAACCTATTCCTAGACCAACCCCAACCCCGACCGCCTTCCTTCCACTACAGACTGATACAATCTTGAAGTCAATCAGTTTTTCGCCTCCATTCTCTCAACAATGTCCAAAAGAAAAAGAAACACCCCCCACCACAACAACCCTTCCTCAGCCCTCCTGGACAACAGTTTTGAGCGCGAGCCGCGCGCGTGCGCGCGCCGACCTCCTAACTTCCAAACTACAAATACTCTGCATTATATTCACACCACACATTGCCCTCAGACATGACATCCTCCACTGCCTCCAGCCTCTCTCCTCGCTGCAACAATCATCACCCCTGCTTCACACCCATATAAGAGTGTTGGGAAAGACGAGAGCGAGAGAGAGCAGCGAGCCCGGCGCGCGAGAGCCCCTCTTTGCCTTCAAGGACAAAGTTCTTGTCTCCACGACTCCTTAAGTGCAACCACCGCCCTTTTCCCCTCATCAATTCTATGATTCACATCCTCCATCATAGACCCATCCGCGACAACTCCACTCCCAAACTATCTGAATCATTCACTTTTCCTCCATACTCTTCCCTACCATCTGATATTCAATCTTTCATCACCAATATTTTGTTATCCTCATAACGCTTACTCTTTCGTATTCAACTTTTATGTTCTTCTAATACATATTCTTAGGAAATAAAGTAAATCTTAGCTCAAGTAATGAAAATAGGAGAGTGAAAGATCAGACATAGTATACCAAGGTTGAGAAGAGAGAAGCGACAGACAGTAGACAATAGAGAAAGATCTAGCAAGAAAAATGAAGTATAATAAATCACATAACTTCATAGCACCAAATGCAGAACTTTGCTAACATAAGAACCTGCTTTCAGAAGACCTGAAAATGATTCATTTAGGCCCATTATACACAATGTAGAAGGGGGCAATTGTAATGGAACAATATGTAGAATAAACCTGCACACTAGGACAATGAAACTTATGATGACATTTCAGTCCGACTTGAAACACTGACCATTGCCTAGTTAAACCCTTTGAGGGTATATTCGTCCGTACAAGTACTCTTAAACGCGCAGGGGTTTTTGACGTACTAGTTACGCATAAATTCTAGCGGCCTCAAATCTCGCAGTGAAAAAAAAAAAAAAAACACAAAAAAAAAAAAAAAAAGGCTTATAGGCCTAGGTTGTGAGAGAATGGTCTGCGTGTCAGTGTGTGCGTAGAAAAAAAATCTTGACCCAGTGGGTGCATTGTGGGAAATGCCCTTCTAGTAAACAATGTCCACCATTCTCGCGGTAAGAAGCTCCTCACACCCTCGGCGAATTGGGACACTTTTTGTCCCCAGAGCCATCTAATAGTGATGGAAGTGCCGAGTGAAGATGAGTTCGTGGTTTTAGTGAGGTTTTGACCGAAACTAATGACCAAATAATCGGAAATAGTGAAGAAAACCCAGAGGCACCCTCAGCCTTCACCTCTGGGTGCTGGGGTGGGCCCTCGTGTTCACATCAGGTTGTTCCCGACAACCCAAGAGAACTTCTATTTTCCCCAAATTCCCCAACACATATGAGAGCAAGTGAGGTAGAGGATGGGAGTGGGTTAGGTTGGTAATGAACTACTAGCTCTTCAAACCAGTTCCAGTAGATGATAGTGAAGTGAATATTCCCCCAGTATCGCGTGCTGTCAGTATATACGACGATAATCGCTCTGGAAGTGTGCCATATTTATAACCAAGGGGAAGGAGTGTATCTAGGAGTACAATCCCGTGGCTGTACAACAGGAACAGACATGAAAAAGAATGAAGATACAGTTGCAATTGGGATGGAAAAAATGTGCGTGGTGGGGTAGTGGTCTGGCCGGCGTGAGGCACCAGCAGTGGGCCATGCTGGCCACCACCTGCCAGCCACGCCGCTGCCTTTCAGCTGATCTAGAACAATGGGCCCACCTCCTCCCACTCCCCCACCACACCACAGCCTCCACAACCCCAACCTCCAAAACCCACAACCCCACAACGACCCACAAACCACCTTCCATTGAGTCCTATACCCACCAAGCAGACACACCTGGGATTGCAGGAAGCTGTCACATTTTGTTCTCCAAATCCCCACCAGTTTGATGGCAGCCAAAGTGGAATAAACGGCCATCCGTGTGCACTTGGGAACAATCCACTGAACTGGAATGTTTTCGAAGTTATACTTTGGACGAACCACTGATGAAAAGTATAGTCATGGAAGCAAACACATACTACACGAGTTACACCATGGCAAAAACACAATACTTTCACCAAAATCACGTCTACCACCAATGGAAGGAGGCTACTGTGCTGAGATGTATCTTTTTTGCCACAATAATGCTTATCCACATGTGTAGAAGCCAAAGTGAAATCATACTGGTCAACAGACCCCTGATTGCAACACCAGGTTCTCAGTGATATTAAATGCCAGTGAATCGATATGTGCTAATGAGTAACTATGCTTCACTACTCATAAAACCAGCCTGACAGAACTGACAGGTTATATAAGAATAGGAATGTGGTTTTGTGTTCTGACACAGAAATCAGTACTCATTTTTATCCCTTCAGGAAGCTTGTAATTGACGAGTCTTTGATCTCTGTTCAAAGGAAGACTTCTCTTTCAAGCAGTACATACCAAGCAAGAGGAAACCATTTGGTATAAGTTGTTGGTGCTTTGGTGATTGTTACAGTGGTCTGGGTATTGGAATATTAATGTGTACACTAGGAAGTTATACAGGCAAAAATACCAGAAGTTATTGGGCATCTCTGGTGATGTGGTTCGAACAATGATAGAACCCTCACCTTGGTAAGGGCATATATTATATACAGATAACTGGTACACAAGCCCCCACACTCAGTGATTTTTTGCGAGTGAACATGACAGACGGTGTGGCACAGTGGTGCAAATCGACACATATTGCCCAGGTTTGATTGCTGGCTCTTCGCAGAGTGAGGTGCAGGCGTTTGGACTGCCAATTGACATCATGGCATTACGGTGGCATGACAAACGAGATGTGCACACTTTTGTCATCATTCACCCCAAAGACATGATGGCAACAGAGGCAGGCCAGCATAGAGAGAGAAATGAACACATTCTAAAACCTGCATCTTGATGATTACACACCTTCAACATGCGTCAGTGACAAATGTGGACATGCAGAGTTGGGTTTTGCCTGAATTGTGTTCGAGAATTTATAAGTGGTAAATTCAAACTGTTTTTCCATCTTCTGGACAATTCCTCCATGCTCACAGCTTATAAATGTATAAGATGAGCACCAGAATACATACCACAGTAACGGCAATTCTGTTTGTCGTCCTCAGACAATAGTATTACAAGTAACCAAGGAAATGCACTGCAATTGACCCGCCCACCAAATTTATCAAACAACACCTGCCGTCTGACACGCATGGGGTGATCACTTCCTGGAAAAACTCTGCCTGGCTACTGCTTTGAAGAAAAAACGTTGCGAGAAGAAAAGTGTTACAAATCTGTTTCACTCATACAAAAAAAACGCTCCGACGACCACGCAGAGAACAACTCGTTTTATGTGTGAGGAGTGCAAAACTCCACTGCGCAGGACACCATGTTTCCAAAGTTTCCACAGGCTGCAGAAATTCTAGAAACATGTCCTGTGACTGTATAAGTGTATATAAAATATAGAAAAATCGTAATAAACAACATTTCAATATTGTCCCTGTTTGGTGGAATTTTTCGTAACTCAAAATAATGACAACAGTGTTTACGCCCTTATTTGTGTAGTATTGGAAAAAGAAATAACCTTACAAAATACTTGATCCTGTTGGCCTCAGAGACCATAAAAGTTACTCAGAAAAAGAAAAATTGAAAAGAATTGAAATAGTACATAAAAAATAAATATAAAAATAACCGGGTGAACGGCAGCGGCGATGTTAACATATGTGATCATTTTTGGCAAATTTTCACACCTCCAATATCTCGGTAATATTGACGATAAAATTTTTTTGTTTAGAGCCTATTAATGTTTAGAAAAAAAAAAGACCTATTTTTTTCATAGACAAAAATAATTTTTTTTTTTTTTGAAATTTGGCCGACCCTGAGAACGATTTTCGATGAGGGCCTGTCGACCCTCAAAGGGTTTTTAAGGTCCAAGATCAAAAGTTTCTATTCTCCAGTTTTACACACGATATATGTATAAGTCTATCCTTATTGAAGGCATGCCAGCATGAGCCTGCACAGCTGTACTAATAAAACACAGGTATGTACATGTATTCTGAATTACTGAATATAAAAATACCCAGTGATGTGGTTCATTTGACATCTGAATCATAACAGTGTTACTAATGTAGATCTATGTTTTGAGCTCAGCCCTTCAACATAAGCTGTTGATCAGTAAATATTTGGGCCTAGACGATGAGAAATGGGTCAGTGCAAGCAAGTTGTGCACAGTAATAAAAAAAAAAAAAAATCCTGCCTGAGACATGGAGATGATGGAAAAGAAACTATGAACTTAGTGTTTGGTTTAAAATATCACCTCTGAAGTGTTTTTTTAGGATGGTTTTTTTATGGTTTCATGGGTTGTTTCTTGGTGAGCCAAATGATAGAATGCAAGATATACGAGCTGAAGTAGAAAACAGCAGATATGTGTAGAATAACATTGATGAATTCACACCATCAAAGAATACCAAGACAACACACAAAGGATAGACAGAAATATATCCAAAAACTAATGTAAAACACCAAAAAAGTGACAAACCAATAAATTTTGAGACTTGGCTATAAAAAAAAACATAGATGGGGTAATCGTCAAAATTACTAATATAAGGGACAGCACATTATAAACAAGAAGTCAAGCAGGTGTAATGATCTCAGTGTTATGAAACATTTCTATAATAAACATTTCCATATGTAATACACATTGTCCTCATTCTTCAGCTTGTCAGTTTTCTATATCAAATTAATCACATCTCAGTGGAATCGCAAGTTGGCGAGAAATATGTTTCTTAGATTTTTTCTTCATATAAGAAAGATACCTGAGAATATATTCCACTGAGACAGGGTTTCCGAAGGTAAATGCCCCCCTGGCCTGTCCTGAGACCAAGGCCTTGTGGTGCATCAGGTCCCTGATCAACAGCTGTTACTGTGGTCTCATTGCACAACGATGCGTACAAACACAGCCCAGCTGGTCAGGTACTGATTTAGGTGCTGTCCAGTGCCTTCTTGAAGCAGTCAGGAGTCAATTTAAATCCCCCTTTAGTATGCTGGGAGGCACTACATCATGGAGCCTGACACTTATTACTGGTGTTATCTCTCGTGTAAAAAAACTCCATGCACCCCTGCTTTTCATTGTGGGAATGTTGCATCTCTTGCCGAGTCTTTGCTTTAGGCAGGGAGTGATTTTCCACGTTATGTACTTATCCCTCTAGGAATTACCAAGTTGTATATTATCATGGTTCTTTCTCGCCTGCAATTCCAGGGAATACAAATCTAGGGACCTCACCATTCCCATACTTCAGGTACTTTATCATACTTGTGTTTGCCATGAAAGAGTCTTTTGAGCATTGGTATAAATCGAGCTGACTAGACAGGTACTGAAAGAAACTGGCAATCCCATTCATTGAACACTGGACCTTTTATTTGCAAACGTGATATGTATGCAAGGGATGGGGTTCACATCTCAGCTGGGAAGAGTGGTTGCATTAGCCAATTCAATGAGAGGGTCACTGAATGACTTGTCTAGAATTTAAACTGATAGATTAAGAGGTATGGTTGTTTTGTGGGAAACAATCAGGCTGCAGCATTAGGGTTAAAAACAGAAGTTTATTACCGGGATACCTTCAGGGAAATGTGTAAAAGACAATATTCAAAATAAAGTTGGCTAGTAATGGCAAATCATTAGATCAACAACAAAGAGAGAACTAGAGGCACGTAGTGACTAGCTCCCTTAAGCTTACTATACAAATAGTAGGAGTCTAAGAAATAAGATAAATGAGCTAAAATTACTTGCGAAGTGTAGGTATATAGATATTAGTGGTATATAACAGAGACTGGTTCAACCTGAAAGATAAGAGAAATGCCTTCTGAATGCAACATACAGGGTTATAAACCTATTCCACACTGATAGAGGGTCAACAGGAAGGGTGGTGTGTGGGCGATGTATGTCCGAGAAAATTAAATTGTAGTCTTAGAAATGATATAAGATAGAAACATCGAACACAGAATCGGTTTGGCTTCAGTTCTCAAGGTCCGAGACAAATTAATTTTGAGGTGTGAATTAAAGGCCCACAAACCATGATAGGAGTGCAGTAAGCTGTAATGGGACCGAAATTCATAGGCATCTAATATAAAAAGTGGTTATAATGTTAATTAGGTATTGTTGGGGGGGGGGTGGGGGGGGGGGGGGGGGAAAGTCGGAGTAATATATATGGGAGAATTTAACTTTAGACAAATTGGATTGGAAACAATATGACACAAATCGGTGAGTCAATGACTTTCTTGAAACGTAACAGGTATTAGCTTTTTAGAACAGGATGTGACAGAAACCAACTAGAGGAAACAATCTGCTTGACTTGGTTCTTACCAACACAGATATCACTAAATAATAATCTGAGGTTAATGATTAAGCTTGGGAAAGTAGATCACAAATCACTTAGTTTCAATATATCATGGAATTACCCCGAAAATTTGCAATCAAACTCTGACCCAGATTTTCGCTTGGCAGACTTTCATGGACAGAAAATTACTTGGGTGGGCCTAAATGGGATGCCCTAACTATGGGTCAGGTAGGTTACTTGTTGCCAATATGACATTTTTCAGAGCATGGTTCTAGCTGCCCAGGGAACAACATGTGTTCCGAGTAGGAAATTATATCCTAACAAAAAATGATCCCAAATGGATGAACAATAGATTTACAACATCTCACGGTCAAAAGAGAAGGCATTAAAGGCATATCAAAGAGGGGATGGGCATTAAGAAACTCAATATATTCCAATTAAAGAGAGAAATAAAGAAAGAATAAGAAAAGCCAAGAAGAGATTAATGAGGCTCCGTCCCGCAAGGGATTCAAAGACTAACCCAAACAGGGTTCTCTTCAGGTATACAGAATAAAGATTAGGGACGAAGACTGGCCCACTTAAGAGTAACTCTGGTCAATCACATGCGACAGTGATAGCGAGATATGTTGTTGAAATTCTAAATACCAACATCACTCACACAGTTTTCATCCACGCCAGGAAAATACTAGTGATATTCCTGAAATAATAGAATTACCTAAACAGGATGATAATAAACTATGTAACGATTGGCGGTAACTAGTGGACATGATCCGCAGACAAATCCCCAGTTCCTGATGAACTGTTTGCAAGGGTGTTAAAGGTTGCTAAAGAGGAACTAGCATAACGCTTTGGCTAATCTTTTTAAACATAATCCCTACAACCTGGCATAGTTACCTGATAAGGGAAAATGGTAAAAGTAATACCTATTAACAAGGCAGTTGACAGGTCCTTGGCTTTGAACTATAGACTAATAACCTTACCTCCATATTGAGGGAAAATTTATGGAATCCAATAATTGGCCGAAGCAATTCGTCAGCCATCCAGACAGACACAGATTGATTAAAGATACTCAACACGGTTTTTTACAAAGGTGCGTTCCTGACTTACGATTTTACACCTACTTTTTCACTAAGGTGGTTGAGGAGGTAAGATTCATGGTACTGAATAAGTTATTGATGTGAATGGGACTTCAGTAAGGCTTTCGATAGAGTTCCAGCACCAGAGCAAAAGAGGAAACTTAGGGCACACGGAAATAGAGGGAGAAATTTTTCCTGGTAGCTGCATGGCTGACAAATATGACAGCAGAGAGTTGCATAAATGGCGGAGAAAATCAGAAGGGGGGCACGTCACAAACGTTGTTCCTCAGGGGTCAGTGTTGGGGCTGTTTGTTGTTCACAATTTGCATAAACGACATAGAATGAGGAATTAATAGCGACCTAAGCAAATTTGCTGATGACACCAAAATAGGCCGTACCAATCATTCTAAATGAGCCATTACAGAGCACTCCAGGATGATTTGAAATGACTGACGCATGGTCGGAGAAGTGGCAGCATGCAGTTTAATATTGACAATGCAAGTCTTCTAAAGTGGACAAGTTAAATAACCAGGGAGCCGACTTATAACCAAAATAATGTAAATCATATACTACCGATTGCGAAAAGGATTTAGGAGTTCTGGTTAGCAATAACCTAAAACCAAGACAACGTGCATTTAGTGTTCT